TACGTATAAAAGAACGTTATCCATAGGAGACATGGTCTAGAAAGCTCATGAAGCTCTTTGCTTGTAGGCAGACAGTGTTCTTCAGACTTACGAATATCGAATCACCTGCAGCCTTGTTTCAACACACTCGTGGGCCCTTCTCCAGAAATTCCAGTTGCACAGGCCAGGGTGGATGCCTGAAAGCTGCATTTTTTTTTTTTTAACAATCCCAGGTGTTGCTGATGCTGCCAGGAAACATGATTTGAGAAACACTATAGGTAAGAGATGGGAAAGGCGCTGGAAACCAAGTTTCTTCTAAGATTTTAATTAATTTAAAATGATATAAGTGATTCTTTTAAAATTTTGCTCACAACATTCTCAAGTATGCACAAAAGTAAAAAGACTCATAAAAATCCCACACAGCACACATCACCCCACTTCAAAAATACCAATTTACCAGTCTTATATATCCCCCATCACCTTTTTTTTTTTTTGCCAAAATAATTTAAAACATATCCCAGCCATATCAATTAATCTATAAAGATTTCAACATTTATTTCCAACATTATCATTCTAACAGACAAGCACTCTTTTTAAATGTATTTACCTATTGAGCGAAGCTAGGATGTTTGCAATGAATTGTTTATAAAACTGTAAGAGCCAAGGAAGACCGTGCTGCATGAATCCCAGATTCTGACTGACCCAATGTTATTTTGACTCTTTATTTGGCAGTGACCACCCTCTGCTTCTAGGCCTTTGCTTAGCCTGCCACCACACACACACACACACACACACACACACACACACACACACAATCTTGTTAACCCTTCCCACCCATCTCCTCATATCCAAATACTGTTCTCAGTTGAAGACATGTCCCTTCCTTCTAGAACCTTCCTCCAGCAGTAAACCACTTATCTCTCTGACACATAGCCCAGCCTTATGTCTCTCCTGACAGGGATCTGCAACTTTCTGCCTTCTGTTGCCCAGGGGACTGTCCCTGGGAGACGGCACATTCCTGGAAGGTGGCATGAGGAAAGGGTTCCAGACAAGCTCGGAACAGTCCACAGTCCTCTCTTCTCTGAAGGACATTACAGTCCCTCGGGGTTGGAGGCTGGAGGTAGAATTTTCATTTCCGAGAAATGACCCTGGATGCCAAATGATTATCCACAACCCTACAAGCTCGATCAGATTCCGAGCGTGGGGGTCACACGCTGTTGCCCTGTCTCACTGATGATTGCCACCACAGTGCAAACCTGGGAAAACTATAGTTACAGCCAGCCTTTTGCCCAATCACCACTCACTGAGGCTTTTCAGGGAAGAACTGGGTGGAAATTGGCTGGGCCTGTGGAGGAATCTGCAGGTGGGGGAGGGGTAGCGGGCGATGGGGAGGTGGAAGCAGAAATGCTAAGAAAGCTAAATATTGTGGTTAAGTCGGAAATGTGGATTTCTGACGCTTTTAGGAGGAAGAGGATGTGGCTGAGTGTGGCACTGGGGCACGTGAATGCCCACATGCAGAGGGGATGCTTGAAAATGAAACCACCCATAAAGCAAGGCATTATAAACGGGCTGTGAGTGTGGCCAGCATTGACTTTGGCAGTAGAGGTCTGGATTTGCTAAGCCTCACGGGTGAGTGAATGATGGGAGTTGGAGGCAAGGAGGTTACTAGAGATTCCTCAGTGCTCTGGGGGAGGTGTTTTCAAGCCAGCAAAACCAGCCTTGGTGAGACCTGACCTCTGAATAGGACAATATAAAAACCCACAAAGAGATTTTAGCCTAGTTCTCTTTTTAAATAAAGTCAGGTGGGCAGGGGCAGGGGGATTCCCATTAGAAAGTTTTATAGTACTTTTGTAGTAGGTTATGAATTATGCTTTGGAACTACACAAAACAGTTCGAACACAGTGCTTCCTGACGCTAGAATTGCAGGCTGTCAGCCACGGCTTTGCTCACCTCCCCAGCTAAGCCACCTATCTTCCTATGGGGGAGACAAATCACCCGCTGTGGTCTTGTTGCCCTGCCTCACCCCTTGAGAACCTTCTTTCTTTTCTTTCCTTCTTTCTTTCTATTATGTACATTTAGTTCCCACAGGCTTCCTTTATCAATATTTCAATTGGTTGCTGCTGACCTATACTTGAATCCAAATATTTGCCCTATTCAGTATGAATTGTTCATTCAGCCAAATGCTTGATTATGTCTGTGCTCTTTTGAGCAAATTGAATGGGCTACTTGACTATGTAATGCCGATATAGCCTGGTCATTAGTAGTGTTTGTTAGAATTGACCAGATGCAACAAGGAAGGAAAGGGAGAGAAGAAGGAGGTTTGTGTTCAGTTTTCCTTCCAGAACAACCATGGTGAAGAAAATGAAATCGTGCGCTTTCCAAGGCACAGTTCTAAACTGCCTTCCTTTTCTTCCAAATGGGCCCGTAGTCTACTATGAATCAAATGGGTCAGGGTTCAAAGGAGATGGATGCTCCTAAAGGCTCGCAAGTTTATGTATTCACTGGGAAACTACCCCCGTAAAATGAATATGGTTTTTTTAAATGATGACCGGCCATCTTATTTTTATTGTTTAGATCAAGACACAAGAAATAAAATAAAGCTAACTACGAGCCTTGCTCTTGATTAATATTACTCCCTGCGCTGGTTGTGTGACATTTCTTCCCATATTCAAACTAACCTTTCATGAATGTGAAAAGCCACATGACTGGACAATTTTTAACTATCATATGTTAAACTATAATTCACACTTTAGGGGAGGAAAAGCTTTCTCCTCTATCCTCTTATGTTCAGTGACTGGGGCTCTGCAAATTAAAGTTACAAAAGATATAAGGAAGAAAAAATTAGTCTGTTTATGCTTGCAGTGCACCTACATGCAGGAGAACTCAGCGATGAGTAACTCAGAGAAGTGGTTAGAATTCAGGGGTTGTATACTGTGTCTTAACAAAGAACAATAAATTGTGAAGAACAAGCTAGACAAAGGGGAAAGGTTTGGGGCT